TGAATTCATTGTTCCAATAATTTCACATCTTGTATGTTGCATCAAATTAGAGTAGGAAGGTAAACACATACAAAAGATAATCTGACAGGATTATACCTGCACTCTTACCTACAATCAGAAGTCTAGTGGTCATATTTCCAAAACGGTAGAGATCTTCTGTAAACATGCGGTCCCTGGATCCAGTGAAATCTTGATATTTTGTGGAACAGTAGTAAAGTCCCAGGTCAGGCTCTGTGATGTTATTAATTGACAGACTATATGAATTTGATGAGGAGTTCCACACGAAAGTGTATTGAGGATGAGGATTGTGCATTAATTCCACACCAGACATTTTCAGTGGAGGCTGCTTCTCATGAGAGCATTTTCTGTACCAGATAGTTTCACGCTCATGTCTGACATCACAGTGCAGGGTAATATTGTCCCCCAGTTTGACGATCCTCAGCACAGCCTCCTCAGACCTTCTCTCCTGTGAGGAGCAGCACAAACCTGAGGAAGAATCACACTGTGAGAAGGAGCAGCAGCGATTCAGCATGACTGTCTAAGGTCAGACCGACTACCATCATGGTCATTCAGTAAGACGTGACTCCTTCATGACAAACATAAAGAAATTACTTGTTGCTCTAGGTTCTACTGCTCATCTGGTAAAATTATCCAATTCTCTTTCTACAGTAATCAGACACTCACCGAGCAGAATAATCAGAGAGATGCACATCATGTCCATGACTGAGTCTGTCATCTAGTGGTAGGGTCTATAGATTTCCTTTGTGATGGGCGGCCACTAGTTTTAATGTCGAAAGATGGAGGTGTCACTTACCGTCACGTCAGTGTGACTTTAAAAATATTTGCACGTCTGTGAGAAGTGTAGGAAGTTTTATTTTTCTTTTTGTCCTGTCCGGCAGCTTTAGCAAGCAGAGTCATGGTCTGAATGCACTGCTGTGCCAGACGTGTTTGCTTTACCATGAGGGGCTCTATAAACTCTGTATAGGCCCCTCAGGTTGATAAAATTCTTTTTATTTTATTTATTTATTTCATTTTTAGCACGTGTAAAATATCGCAGTGGCTGAGCTAGCCGAAGAGGAACGATAGATTAGGAGGAGGAAGAAAAAAAACAAAAAAAGTAAAGGAGGAGTAAGTGAGAGAGATAAGGTAAGAATGATAGGAGTAAAGTAGGTGTTAACATAACAGGCCGCCGATTGCTGCATCTGTAAAGGAGAGGGAAAAGGCAAAAGATCAACAGCATCTGAAAGAAGTGCAAAAATGGATAAATACATAAACACAAACGAAAATAACACAGATAAACAAACATACGAAATTGTTGTGTGTGCTTGGAGGGGTGCGCGTAAGCGTATGTGCCTGCTCATCTGCGTAGGCGAGGTGTGAGGGCATGTGTGCGTGTGTTGTATGCGTGTGTTTTCAACGTGGAACGTACTTAATAGTGAGGGTGGGGGGCCGCAACCACATCCCACAAGAGCCAGAGGTCGGCGGAGACAGGCCCCGGAGGCCAAGGACGTCCGCAGCCCCCCAAGAGCACAGAAGAGCCGGGCCTCACGGCCCAATGACAGCCGCGCCCCCACCCCAACCGGAGGAGGAGGGAGGTCCCAGACACAGCCCCCACCCCCCGGTGTAGGAAGACCCGCCCACTCTCCTCCCCCATACACCTGGATGAGAGGTGGAGTGCTGGATGTGTGTGGTGATGTATGTGGTGTAGGGGGTGAGTATGACTGTTGAGAAGCTAAGATGGATTTAAAAGTGACGGGGGAAGCGTGGAGGAGCACTGCTTGTGAACAGCACTGCTTGCCCCAAGCACAAACCCACCTAGATGTAGGATAAAGAGTGACAGACGACCCATCAGGCCTTATAGTTTTTGCATTGCTCACTCCTCCAGGTTTCGAGCTCCTTATACCAGGTTTGGTGTCTGCATGTGTTGGCCTTCAGAACGAGAGCCATGACATAAATTGCTACAGTGTGAAGCTCACAACATAGTTTCAGTTGAGACTGGTTATCAGAGGGGCTATTTCAGTTCTGTGGTCATTTTGAGTCTGACAGTAATGGCAGCAAACTGAATTTTTAAGTGTTTTCAAGTGTTATTATGAGTATTAAGAGTTATGAGGATAATATTTTCCATCGCGTCATAGAACAGTGACGATCTGCACCGAAAAATGATTCAGCCAAAGGGGGTTTTCAGAATCAAACAAAAGGAACATTTTATTGCTTAATAATCATCCAAAATAAAGCTGTATACTCCATTTCCAATTCAACCAGACTTCAACGTGTACATGAAAATTAAAATAAAAAAATGTTGACTGAATGAGAAAAGTGAATCCCTTTTGTGTTGAAATGAAGTCATGTAGGGGTGTGTGGTTTAGGTGTGTAAGTGAGTCTTGGAGGGTGGGGTTTTCTGGATCACATGACTTGCAGAGGTGTGGCTGAGGTCAGAGGTCACAGTGGGCTGTATTTGACATTTGTGTAAATGCCAAGCAGTCGTCCTCCATCACGCAGTGATGCTCCAGATGACTAAGCCTGTGTATCTCACAGCCAGGACGTGCAAACAGAGTAGTGAAGGCAGAGCAGAACACAAGCTGTGGTCACGGTCATCACCAGGATCAAGACCTCAACATCTGGGCCATCTTGCGGGAAGACAGGAGAAGATCATTAACAGTGATGAACGCTTTACCAAACAAACCCCATCACAACATGGCGATGGGAATCACTGGGGGGCGCTGTTGAGCTAGACGAGAGGTAGGATTAAGCCACATGTGGACGCTGGTAGGAGACTCTATCACGTGATTTTGACGACGTCTCAGTTAAGCTCCAGGATCTTAGACACGGCTTCCCAACCTTTTCAAGACGAATAGATTAAAAGCTCGGTATTCGGGAAATGATTTTGTGCACGGCATGATTGTGGCTAATTACCATGCACACAAACAATTGAAAGAAGCACCAAATTTGCTGCAATGGACCCTGTATATTCTAATCAAATCTACAATGAGGTCTAACCAAATGTGGAAAGATGCTGAGCATTTACACATAACACACTTCTGGGAACTCTATACCTTCTAATTGTTCTATATTTACAGTTTTATTTAATCACTAAAAAAGCATTTTTCCGTGCTGAAGTGACTTTTTCCAAAACTCTTCACAGTTTGCATTACCAACACGCAGGTGGGTGTAACAGTCAATCGCACCTCCACACTGCAATAAACCACAGAAACACTTTGTACGCTTCTCAAAATAAACACGGGCTACCAAAGAGCCGCAAACATTCTCAGCTGACAAGCAGACTATGGCGAACATAACATCATAACTGATAAACACCCTCAACAGGGGGCTGAACAAGATGTAGCATTTTGTATGAAGTATGTTTAATTGTTTAATGAAAATCAGTGTTCTATTGCAGAATAACACCTTTTCACTCCTTTTCATTCGCTATAATGTACTGCAGTAAACGTCTTAGGAATAAATAGATAATGTATAGAAGTATATATACATTTTTGCATATATTACATTCATTTCCAAAAGAAGAGAAACCAAAAATGAAAATGCTTTGCATTCCTATATGTTACAGCGCTAGTTTGACTCTATTCTGGATTTGGCCACATTCTCATCCACATCATGTCTAATGTTCTCCCTGGTGATACAGTGAAGGTATCTTTTACAGAACCATCCCTACTCCAACCTACCTGCGTGGCGTCCAGTAAGGACATTTGCTCATGTGTGATATTTATACACCTTCTGCCTCAGTGCAGAGAGGAACTCCCCCAATTTCAGGCCTAAGGAGTGTGTGTATGGTGGTAGGAAAAGTGAACTATGGTCTCGTCACGATCGGCTGCAAGAGTGCTAACAGGACATGGCTGTGGAAAAGGCCTGGGGGAGGACAAAGGCTCAGCGTGCTGCTTATGCTCTCTGTGCCCCCAGAAGTAGACAGACTGGGAGACGACTGCCCCGAGGGCAGACCACCTCCTGAGCAACCCAGCCGGAGCCAGAGGAACTGCGTCTGTCTGTATGAGGGGGGAGATGCTTCCCGCTGACCTGGGGGCCGTTGCCCTTCATCACCACAGCCTGCTTGTATTCCCCTCTAAACCCTGAATAAATCTCCCCCCTCCCCGGGTATCTGCCCCTTCATTACCGCAGCCTGTTTATATTCCCCTGTATTCCCTGAATAAATCTCCCCCCTCCCTGGGTATCTGCCCCTTCATCACCACAGCCTGTTCATATTCCCCTGTATTCCCTGAATAAATCTCCCCCCTCCCCGGGTATCTGCCTCCTCTCGTCCCCTGAGCCTCCTTGTCTGACACATTGCTGTCATAGACAGTAAATTGCACAATGACATATCATATTCTGAGAATAGCATGATAACCTTAAAATATTATTGTAATACTGAAGGAAATGGATTCAGTGTCTCTTTTCTGGGGGTGATATGGTGGTAAGGTGGTTAGGACTGTTGCCCCACTCCTCTGGAACCAGGGTTTGAGTCTCTGCCAGGGTTCCATGTTTGCTGGGTTTGCATGGTCTCCCCGTGTCATCATGGGGTTCCATCCCCCCCCGCAGTCGAAAAACATGCTGAGGCTAATTGGAGTTACTGGATCACCCATTGGCGTGTGAGAGTGAGCCCTGAAATGGGTTGGCACCCCATCCTGGGTTGTTCCTTGCCTTGTGTCCATATGCTCCAGACTCCTGTAACCTTAAACAGCATATGGAAGATGTCTCTCTTCTGTTTTCACACACATAATCCTTTATTTAGAATTTTAGTGATCAGTGTTGACACACCACAATGAAACGTGTCCTCTGCATTTAACCCATATGTGACATTGTGACATAGCAGGGGGCAGCTAATTCAGCACCCAGGGAGCAGTGCTTGGGGACAGTACCTTGCTCAGGGTACCTCAGTAGTGCCTTGCTCATCAGGGATTCGAACCAATAACCTTTCAATTACAAGTGCGCTTCCCTAACCATTAAGACACCACTGCCCAATTCTTTGTTTATAGGACAAAACAGAGCACTTACGTTTGAACAATAAATAAATGTTTAATTTATCACTGAATGAACTGCAGAGTGACAAATCTTGTTCATAAAAGTCGTAGAATACGTTTACATTCTCAAGATTTTATTAATTTACAAAGCAACTTAATTAAATCAACAGGGACTAGGAATAAATGCTAAGACTTGGCTACTGAATTTCAAAACTCACTCTTAACGTTGGTATACATTTTTATCCATAGTAATGGGTAAGTTTAATATATTCTGAAATATTACTACATAAATTATTTCCATCCCGCAGATTACACAAGAGACATAGTGCTGTAAATTTGTCACACATGACCTCTGTAGACTTCGGAGTAGGTACAGATATCACTGTTCTGATCAGGCTTTGTCCTGGACGGCCTGGGTCCTTTACGGATCTTCAGTGTGGCATAGTTCAGCTGTCCCTCCTCCTGTGGATAAAAACAATTTATAAATATTTTTGATTCTCACACATGACATTACAAATATTTATATAATTATTCAAATATCCAATGATTCGGCAGGAAGAGGGTATGTCTATAAAGCAGAACTACTTACCGGTTCATCATTAAATCTTGTAATTCTTTGTTTAGCTGTGGTCTGTTTTATCCCTACAGAAAAATAACAAATGTCAGGTCAAGGTCAACCAATCATCTCAGCAATACCCCAGGCTCTCAGACCTGAACATGCAGGTCACCTCTGGTGACCCAGGGGACTCACCCTGTCTTCTCCCCAGCCAGTAGGTACCGACAGAGAGAGGAGCACAGAGCAGAACAGCCGCAGACACACTGACCACCAGCATCCAGCTCTGGATCATCCCTGCTGTAGAACCGCTGGGGGTCGTTATGGTGCCATTGGAACCGTCTATATCAGGGACAGTGGGACATTTTCATGGTCATATTCGCTTTGCTGCTGCTTACAGAGACGGTTAACATAACTATTCAGGCACCTTCCAGTACAGGTCATGGTGGTGAACTGGAGCCAGTTACAGCAACACAGACTGGAGACTCCATAGTTAGGATGGCAGAATGTTACAAAAAATATTTGTTAAATTGTGGATTATACATATTTATATTTATTTATTTTAACTTTCCCTTGTAGCTTTTTTTGGTGGTTGTTGGGGGGGGGGGGTTATACAAATTATTAAACAAAATTCTTTT